GGGGGGGGGGGGGGGGGCGGAGAGAGTGTGTCTGTGCATGTGTGCACATGTGCACACTGTTTAGTGAAAGTAATTAATGAGTTTTTAAAATAATTCCTTTAGCAATAGAAGTGCTTGTCTTAGAGCAAGTTTGAGTTACAAGATGACTTTTTTTTTGCTAATGAAAATATTGTGGAGTTGCTAGATAGGGCAAAGAAACTATGCAAACAAGGTGGGACAAACATATAATAGAATGAACTTGTAGCTGCCAGGCCTGGACCAGTGAGGCTGTAGCAGCTCCTAGGCTAAGGGTGAGGGTGTTGCTACTTGTGAGAAGGTTCCCAGACCACTGTTGTGCACAGTAGGAGTAGCCATCTGGGAGGTGAGGACCCCTGCCCCAAGCTGTCAGTGCTAGTACAAGCAATCATCTTTCTTCCTTTGTATACAAGCCCCAGAAAAGTTATGCAAATAATTGCAATACAGTCTTCCAGTATTTATTGTAACTATTTAACACTAAGTAATGCAGTCATCTTTAGCATAAGACCTGGGTCCAATACTTCCACTTCCCGAGTGCCCTACAGTAGGGCCTTGTTTTGTCTGTCTGGATTAATTTTGAATTATTTTCTTCACAGTCATTTCTAGAAGTCAGGTGTGCAAAACATGTTGGAACCTGTGGCCAGATTCTTAAGAGGCTCATAGAGGGTAGCAAAGCTGGTGAAGGGGCTGGAAGGTGTGTTCTCTGAGGACTCTGGGTTTGTCTGGTTTGGAAAGGAGGCTGAGGGGCAACCTTATTTCTCTTTGCAGCTTCCTGAGGAGGAGACATGGGAGAGGGAGGTGCCAAGCTCTTCTCCCTGGGATCCAGTGATAGGACTCATAGGAGTGGTTCAAAGATGCATCAGGAGAGGCTTAGACTGGACATTAGGAAGCATTTCTTTAGTGGGAGGGTGGTCAAACCCTGGAGCAGGCTTCCTCAAGAGGTGGTCACTGCCCCATGCCTGTCAGTGTTTAGGAGGCACTTGGACAAGGCCCTTAATAATGTGCTTTAATATTGGATTAGCTCTGAGGTGGTTGGAGTAGATGATTGTTGTAGGTCACTTCTAACTCAGCTCCACTACAGAAAGCAAAGATAATTGACAAACCTTATATTGTTGACTGTATTAAGAGAGGAAGACAGGAAAACAATCTCTGAAATATGAGATGTTCTCCTAGGGTTGCATTTTATGCCATTGTTCCAACTTCATGGGCATATGTGTAAATTGGATCTGTGACAGATGAAGTAGGACACATGATGGTGCTATTCATCTTTACAGAAAAGAAAATTTAAAATGTCACAGCTTACAGAACAGATTTCGTTTCTTGACAAGAATGACATTAAGAAATACCGTTAAACTGCAAGTTGTTAAAGAAAAATTGAAGCTTTTTTTTTTAGTAAGGATTTAAAAGTATTTTATTGATTGTTGTCCTGTAAAATCATAGAGGTCTTTAATTCCTGAAGAACTGTGTCCAACAATAGGAAAAATGAAAAAGTCTTTAAAAAACATTACAGCATCTTCTGGAAAAACTAGGTATGAAAAATATATACAATGTATTAAAAAATCTGAATAAAATTAATGTCTGGATTTATACACTCAGTTGTATTAAACAACTGCCTGTGTACAATAAAATTTGTTAAAATATTAGCAGTATTTTTACTATGTTAAATAAGTTTCTATTCAATTTACAGTTTCTCATTACTATTTTATCAGCCCACTTAAATTAATTTACAAGGCTATAAAACCACTGTCAGACTGTCAAGGTAAGTGTTTTTGTACAAAATTATTGCCGCCTCAATATATTTTAAATTGTTACAGAAATACATCTTTATAAACATCCAATTAATTCACAAACTGAATCAACATATTACAATATATAAAACAACATACAGCCCCTTTAAAAGAGACAGGGAATACAACAAGCAGAAAACCTTTGTACTGCAAGTTTTTCCCTTATTTTTATTGAACATGTATTCTACTCTGCTGAGTTATCAGCTGGTCCTTAAAAATGTGAAGACTTTTATATTACAAACTGTCACACATATATACAGAAAAGATGCACTGAAATTTACTTCATTTTTGAGTGCATTTTGTTCACACAACATTAAGTGGTTGGGTTTTTTTCTGTGAAATTCCAAAGCTAAATTGCAGATGCAAAAATTCAGCAGGTGTTGTGTGTAGTGCAATTGTGAGAAGTCTTCTCTGAAGCAGAGAAGAGCCTGTGTGAAGCAGCACCAATGCGAGCTCCTCTGAAAGGAAGGTCCCAGCACTATTTTATCTATTGCTCTCTATCCCTCCCTCCTTATCTCTTCCCTGAAGCATCCAGTGACATCAGGTCACACTGCAGTAGGGAAGGCAAAGATAACAAAATACCAAGTTAATCAAAGTGCTGAGCTATCTACTTCCAGGTCTTTCCTTAGTGGTGGTCTTACATTTATCTATACAATGGAGATGAGAAGACCTGGCACCTTAACACAACTCTACAGACCTTACTTCTCTCTCTACAGAGGGGAAAAAAAAATAAATTAATCTCCTCCAGTACAGAAGAGCAGAAAGACTAAAGGACAAAAAAAACCCAGAACAAACACCCCAAACACAGAATAAACCATTTCCTGTTTTCTGCAGTCATCACCAAAACCCTTGCTCTGAAGCAGTAAGTTATGATGAAGATCTAGTTAAACACATGGGGAAAACAGAAACAAACTGGACATGTTTCCTGCAGTTATACTCCTTTAAAATACCTGTGCTAAAATGGAGATGAGACTGAGATAATATATATTATGTATTTTGGAGAGTTTGGTCTTTCTTGCTTTCAGAAATCCTTAACACCATACTATAGACCACTGCCACCAGAGGCACTCGTCTGGATTCTTCCCTGGAGCTTGTGTCATCTTTGCTAACATTGATTATAGAGGTCTAATTACTTCTTATGAAGCCTAGGACTTTCCTGGATTTGTGCTGGAGAGGTAGTCCTTTATGAATTATGGATTGGTCATTCTAGTTCAGATTCTGACACAACTGGGACCATCCCATGACCATACTCTCTGGTACTGCACGTGTAACCCTGCAGTTTCTTAAGAGCAGCAAACTCTCCAATATTGTCTCCAGATCAACGGATTGGGTGACCTTCTGGTGTTTGGTCTCCTGCCCAGACTGCTACACAGAGTTTTGCTTCTGAAAGGAAGTCAAGATGCTCAGAAACAGATGGAGAAGGAATACATAAAGAGGCAGGGATGGAGGAACTAAAGTTGAAACTGATATCTGAGTCAAGGAGAAGCTTGGCTGATCTCCAGGACTTAAGAAGCTACTTCTAGTTGAAATCTGCTACTGGTCGAGCCAGGTTTCAGTTCAGAGCTCTCTAAACACAAAGCAAAAAAGGGATGAGTATCTGAAATATCAGTGCTCTGGTACTAGATTTTTCGCATTGGTGACCCACATCTTCCACACGAGAGCTGTAGGGCACGTCACCGCACCCCACCGGCAGCAGTTAGTGCAAATCCTGTAGAACAGTATGAAGAAGCAAAACCAGTCTACACATTGGTTTCAAGTCCAAGCAAGCGTCCCATCCGCTCCATGTTCTTGTCAATGGTGGCACGACATGTGATTTCTTTAGCACACTCCATGGGAAACCAGCCTCGTTCGCCGTCCCGCAATCGTTCCCCTTCATACCAACCTGCAAACAAGTGTAGTAAGTTTTCTTTATACTGTAATTCAATTATAATATTTGAGATAATATAAAATAATTGCAATCTAAAGAAAGTAATGCAGCAGAACTGATAGGATCTTTGATTCCATTGTAATACTGAATAACATCATTACGTCAGGATTTAGTACTTCAGGCATCACTGAATCAGCACATCATGAGGTAGTGGAATCACTGGCACATCCAGCGAGAATCAATTTTGATTTTAGGGTACTTGATGCTATGGAAAACAGGGAAAACCACTGTGCTACACCCCCGTATTTAACAGGCAGTGAAGCGCAGTAGGTGACACGACTAATAATGCACGTTTCTCTTAGAGAAACCTCATGCTCATTCAACTAAAATGTCTGAGTTCTATCTTCTTAGGTAGAATTATTTGTGGACATTTCACATCTCAAAATCAACCAGCACACACTTTCTGCAGCTGTTTATCCATAGAAGTTGTTATTATATAGGCAGTGAGTTACTTTGAACATTTGTTCCCTAGAGAGGCTGTCCTTTGGAAACCTGAACCAAAATGCTCACATTTTTCTTGGAAGCTAAACCTTTATCTGTCATATGGCCAGTGCTATTAGGAAACAAATTCTGGATTCACCTGCAGCAGTGACAGATGGTTACTAACAGCAAAATTATTACTCACCATCGTTTACTTTTTGATAAACCAAAACAACATCAGCAACTTGAAGAGACAGTTCATCCGACTGCTTTGCTGTGTAAGTTCTGGTGATCTCTACCTGAGTTAAAGCTGTGGAAGAAATAAGCCAGGCTAAATTAAACAATTCACACACCACCTATCATTTATTTTAAAAATTTCCACCTTAGAGTATACTTCCCCCCCGAAACTCAAAGGAGGTAGCAAATTATGCAAATGGCTTCCTACCTGAGCAATTACACACAAACAGGATAAACATATAAGGGAAGCAGCTTTGTGCTTTTGCTAATGGATTGAAACAAGTGACCGAACTAGTGTTACTGAATGCAAACAGAAATTACCCTGTGAAACAAAGCCTCAAACAAGGCCCTGTGCACAGGAAGGGAGGGTACTTTCACATACGCTAAAGCAAGAGAGGCCAGGAAAAAATTTCGACCACATTTCTAAGGGTGCTTGTATCTAAAGCTATTTGTAGTATTTGTATAAGTACACCTGCTCACATCCCCACTAAGGGGCAGCGCGTTTCCATCTCTTGTCAAAGCTCTCTCAAATCTTGTCAGTTGTAACTTACTTGTCCTGTCTGTTTTCTGCCCGTCTCTGTCCTGTCCCAGCGCTGTAATCCAGCGAGCTCTGTCGCTCCTAAAAATAGCAAAGACAAAACTCAGTTTCCCAGCTCCTGCTGCTGGTAATGGTCAAGCCTACTCGCCTTTTCAAAATTCTGTGTTTAAATTTTTCCTCTTATTGGGTAAAGAAAATAAAACCTCCTTTTTCTTCTCCTCAAAATAGTGCCAGAAGGCATGATACCACTTTAGTAATATGTTATTCAAACATACTTAACTATTTTAAGCATGCTGGATTAGGAAAAAAAAAAACCTATATACACGGGACCTACTGGCATGATGTCTTACATACCTTTCCTTTAATTATTGTTGAGTAATGCAGACAGACTTCACTAGTGTCTATGACTAATACATATTAGTAATCTAATAAAAAAATTATCTAACCTACAAAGGATCTGATAAATGCAATACAGCCATTTTAATACACAATACCAACAGGTTTCCTGTAAGAACCACCTGCAGAATGCACTTGGAATGAAAAGCAAGAATGAAAAAAACCCTGTGATTATTTTTTTTTACATCCCAACACACATTCTTCCTCAAAGATGAAACTACTGCCCATGTCCTTCCTACTAACATTTGATCCAATGGTCAAAACTACAAAACATGCTACCATAGACATTTCAGTCATTAAAAGGTGGTGCTAAACTTGTGTATTAAGTTTTGCATGAGCTTAACTTTGTGCCCTTTTTTTTTTTTTAATAGAAACAGGTGTTATTTATACTCTCATTTTCCTTTCCCTGTAACCATTCTTAACAGGAAAATTACATTTCCTTTCAAACAACTCTGAGAAAAATGGGATAATCGCAGAATCCCAAGGGTTGGAAGGGACCTTCAGAGATCAGCTAGTCCAACCCCCCTGCCACAGCAGGTTGGATACCAGACTGTCTCCCAGTCAAAGTAGATATTTCTTCGTAATCTGTGTATACCATGTATTTTTTGCCTTATTCACAGGTGCTTTTGTACTTGATAATCCCACAGCATATGAAGTGACAAAACATCATCAAACTGAGCTAGAAATCTTTGCATCAGTGCAAACATTAAAGTTTCACATGTGCAAAATTCTGTTCAATAAGCACCCTACACCATCCAGCTTGGCCTTCCTTGTGTAGATCCCCTGCCCGTCCTTCTCAAGTTAAGAAGAAGTTAAGTTTTTATGTACCCTGTATATAGATGATAATACTCTACAAAATAGGTAACTTCCAAATAAGGTAATTCTTTTCAGAATTTTTTCTTCTGAATGACAAATCTGCTAGACTATTTATATTACAAACAGTATATAGCAAATCAATAATAAATTTGCAGAACAAAATGTCTTTTCTTTAAAAGGCCAGACAACTAAAAATGCACTGCATTTTTTTCCCCAATAAAAATGCATTTCCAAACAAGTCTGAATCATCTGCTTACTTTATAATGAGATCTTTACTAGAAATCATTAATGATCTATAGTTTCTTTCAGGGTTATTCTAAACTTTGAAAGCAAACCTAAAACTAAATTTTTCCAGGCTGGGACACATCTGGAGCACTCTGTTTCATGTCTTCTGTCCCGCCTCCAGCTTCCACTAAAACAGATAAAATCTTTCACTTTTGTGAAGGGTTGTGTGGAAGTTAATGGCACCACAGAGAAATGATGGCCTCTCGCATATTTGCACCCGAAAGAACAAGACACTTCTTGTGCGTTTCTAAAGCGGAACACTCTTCCAAACTGCATCAGGAGAACAAGGACCACCTCTATCCCAGCACAGCTCCACAGCTTCCTCCAGGCAATGCCAAACTCCTCCTCCCATTTAATCCAGAACTGGTTCCACTTCTGCACCATCCAACTGTTATAACAAACAATTCACAAACCACTGCTCCAGGACAAGAGCATTCTGCCTCATACCTTAACAACATTCACCTGCCACTGCCGTTGTGCCTTAGCATGCACCTGTGCCTACCTCTTTCTCCTAATACCGGGCTCTGCACATAGACCACACGGTATAAATGCCACATGAATGCTAAAAGAACTGTCAGTTAGATAAGATACTTAGTAAGGAACAAACCAGCACAGAAAAGTATCAGAGATGGAGCTTAAGTGAATCTCTGCAGTCAGATTATTCGAGGTCATCTTCTCAAGGTAAGTTTGGAGAAAAACCTCCCTCAACTACAACAGTAAAAGCAACATTTTCCTCATGGTAACCTGTGTTACACTGGGATTCGTGTGCTCAGTTCCTCTACCTGCACAGCAGCAGGGTGTGCCACAGGATGAGATGGGAAGGGCATTACAGAGCCTGGAACTCCGACTCACCACCTCGATTGCTTGTAACGGACCTTTCATTATAAATTTAAGAACCCGCAGTTATTCAGCACTGAGGTCTGTTCCTTGGGGTCTGTAATGGTCTCACCTGTTTGTAGGACAGCTATATACTGAAGCAGGCTGTAGAATCCAGATGTATACAGCACTTTCAACTACAGTGTACTATTTACTCTTCTGGTTTACTTTAGGTACTTACCCTCCAGACATAACGATTATTACATAAAAGTGCTACATTAACAGGTAAGCTTGGCAGGAAACCTGTGTCTTGACTTCCAGTTCTCAGAAGGTGCATTAGAGAAATATGTAAACACATCGCACTCGGCTACAACAAAACCCTGTGGTGACTCAGTCATATTTGTAGTTCAAATTAAACAATAAGAAACCTCCATATTCCAATATGTAATCATTAGATTGTGTAGTTTACTCAACACTTGCATTATGTAGCAGAACTTTGATTTCTTTTTTTTTTTAACCCTTCCTTCCACAACCTTTAAACTCCAGCAATCCAAACTGCTTAAATCTCCCTGCAGCCCTTATTTGCCTCACCAGTAACAACTAGAAGGGATTCAGCAATCCCTGACTAGGGAGCTGGCAACCTCCAGGGCACAGTTAATTCCTGGCCTGAAAACCCAAAACAGTAGGACGTAATAATGGATACTTCAGTTCACAGAATTTCAGCAGATGCACTCAATTTTCCATTATTCCTACACCATGACCTCAAGGAAGGAGAACCTCAAGGAAAGAGAGTGACACCAAGATGACATGCTCTTGACACCACCGATTCCTCTCATGACAAGATGACATTAGAGAAACTGAATGAGGTTTGCAGAGGCTGTATTTTATCCAGTAATATTTATTGCAATATCTGGGGGGTAGTATATAAGCTGCACGTTTTGTCATTCGTTAACAATCAGAAAGGTTTGTCAAGGTTACTTTGCCTTGCTCTGAAAATACACAGTTAAAATAGGAACAGTGCAAGTGCCAGCAGCTGGCAGGTGTCACAGTGAGCGCCTCAGTGTTACTGAGAGGGCACCAACAGCATCCACCACAGAGGGACATTTCTGCAGTCGCGCTCCTCCGGTCACCGCTGATGGGACACCACAAACACTGCCGCTTGGGAACTTGGTACTTGTTTCATTTTGATTTAACCTTCCCAGACAGAGCTGGGCATTTCATGCTACTGTGACCGTGGCGGGAAGGCAGCCTGTTGAGATGCTCAGGTGAAAAATTACAGAAACAGTAACTATTGACTTACAGCGTGTCTGTGCCCAGGAGCATCCCCACCTTCTCCCCCGCGTGGTTGCTGAGCACCGCCAGCCGGAAGAGGTGAGTCGCCGAACTCTGCCGCGAGTAGAGCATCGTGGAAGCGTTCTTCACAGGAGAAGAAGTCAGGTCCTCGCTGTCACATTGTTGTACCACCAGCTGGTCCCTTAAAGAATAATCCGTGACATTGTAATTCTCTTCACTGCAGAACAAAAAAGGGAAGAAAAAAACCCAAAGTTTAATGTTTAGTTTTCCATCAAGTATGTCTGGAAGCAAACTCAGTCATAGAATCCACTTTTAACTGCACAGTGGGGCACGATTATTCTGACACCTCAGGTCTTCATCTTTTCTATTTATTGGTTTTTGAAACTACCAATTTTCCAAAACATAAAGTAGATCAGGTTTTAAACCTTGTGGATTTTCATTTAGTGGCACAGTTAAGTGACTTTGGCTGAGAGGGTGTAAGCTCAACTTACTCAATTTGAAAACAGGCACAGCAATTGTATAGAATTGTGCTGCTTTTTCTTCTGTAGCTTCAGACGAACAACAGACTTTAATTTTACAATGTTTTAGGAACAAAAGTAAAATTTCCCTTTTCCTATGCCTGTACAACTATGGTATGCATTCTGCTTCCAGAGAAACACTATAGATCTTCATTTTAAATGCAGGATAATCATCTGTACTCCTTGTCCATCTGCATGGAGGTGATCTAATCTAAATACTATTTTACAGTATTGTGAATTTTAAAAAAGGGCAAAGGCTTGTCACACATTGGGTCTTGCAAAATGCACTGCACAATTTACCTTGTAGAGAGTACTTTGTATGTAAATATACCACCTCTAAGCGATACAAATAAAGATTGCTACATGTGCTTAATAACTTCTCAAAAGTGACTAGAAAGAATTCTAAGAATTTAAGCAAGTGAGCAGCTTTGCTTTCCTTATGGTTGAAATGTAGGTGGAGAAGTGGACAAAACTTATCTTCGCTGACACACCACCATGTCTGACACAGAAACCAGAAGTTTTCATTTAGGGGCACAGTTAAGTGCCACACCACCATGTCTGACACAGAAACCAGAAGACTTCACCTTCAGAATATCCAAACATCTTAAGCACCACTCTCACATAAGTTCAACTCGTCATCGTGCCTGTTGGTTTTGCTACTTACTCATATCAAGGCAATACTGGAAACACATTTTTTTTTCCAGTGAAAAATAACTCTGCATTTCGAAGTTTTTAAAGTTGTGAAACATAGTTAAACAGCTAAAAGAATCCACATCATTTATTTGATAAATAGCAATTGATCACAAGAAGAGAGAAGCCAGACTAAAAGGCCACCTTGTTTCCACTGAAACTTGTGAGTATATTTCCCAGAGTTGTCCTACATGCATTTCCAAGTTTACCAGAATACGTCATCAACCCAGGACACTGATCAACTAAGTTACCTCTTAATTTCATGTAAGTTTGTAAACTTTAATGTAAAATCAATCTAGACTTCAGCCTCAAGTGATAAAAAGCTATGCTAGAGCCTCATATGGTTCATTAAAATAATTTAAATTGAAAAAATATTTGAGAAGATTAATTTTGCTGCCAGAGATATACAGAAACCCAGGCACTGAACTGATACAAATCAAATCCCAAACACCTGGAACTGAAGCCACCTGCAGTGCTGATGGGTGACATACTCCTTTCTGGCAGGTGCAAATGAAGCGTGTTCTTCCTTTATGGTTGCTCAACTGTTACAAGAAAATGGGCAGATGATGACTTAATGTCTGTTGGGGTATATTCCACCCAGTTTATGAACTGTCGGGAAAATACCTGCGAATACCTCAGTAGTTAATATAATGGTCTTTATAATTCTTATGTTCATTCCTTCAGAAAAAGAATTGCCAAAACAAAACAACATTATGACTCAAAACATCAGTTATTGCTGATTTCTGTGACTCACGCAGCATTAGAAGAATTTCTCTATTCTTCAAGTGACAACAAGTTTACAGATCATATTGCATTTGTGGATTAATAGTTTCTGCCAGTGCATCTAGTGTAAAACCAGACTTCTTATTTCAACTATGTGGGCTATGTTTGCACTTTTGTTCTGTGAATTAAATACTTTTTTTTTTCATTACAGCTTTGTACATTCTCAAACAATCAACATAGTTCCAATTAGTATCATGTTCTAATCCTTCTTGCAAGTATTTTTAATTCTGATCTGTTCTGGGGAGGCTGGGGGCTTTACAAAGGAAGCAGAAGCAACGACAGACAAGCTTAGTTAGATTTATCCTATAGAAAGACTGAAACCACTAATGCTGGTAAGAAGACAAACACTTTTCCTTCCTCATTTCTTTTTCTCCAAGTCTCAAAATAGTACCAACAATCCCCACCATCCACTGGTGTTTCCCACTCTGAGGGCTGGAGTCACAACTCCCCATTTGGGTACAAAACATACCAAAACGTCCAAGAGCACTGTTGCAAGAATGTAAAATGGCTTTAAAAACTCTCCACACAGTTTTGATTAACCTTAGCTTTTGATCGTGTTGTTTCCATGTTGCTTAGAGTAAAAAAAAAAAAAAAATTAAAAAATAAGTCATATAGGAAATGAGCCAGACACAGCAAACTCTTTCACACATGACTTCTTGGGTCCTAAAGTAGAAAGAATACAAATTACAAACAGCTTTTGGCCTAATTAAAGGAATTTAACATGAGCACACTGAGAAGCTGGGAGAATCTTCAATATTTCAGCATATAGAAAAATAAGTTTTAATTTCTGTACATATAACACTGGGATTCTACAAGGAATCTTCACTTCAAATGCGTTCTGTATATCCTTATCTTTTGGGAAAGGAGTGCACACAGCTCATCCCTGAAACATAACAAATGTAAATTTACTGTGATTGTCCTACTGTAGAAAAGTTTAAGTGTTTTAAAAGAGACTGTGCCATGGGAGGGAGTAGAGGCTATGGATTTAGGTTTCACATTCCCCTAAATCCAGCTCTAGATTCAAATTAATTCATTTATTTACAAAAGATGCTACTTATCACTTGAGGACAGTTGTTTCAAAGGCCATCTGTAGTAGCTGAGGGTTCCAACTGAAGGAGGAAAATAACATTTTACATCCAATAACTATCAGTATCTCGCTTCCCCTTTTTTTCTTTAAATATATACCCTAAAATAGAGAAAGGTTGGGGTTGTTGGTTGGTGTGGGCATTTTTTTAGGTGGATGGAGGTTGCTTTGTTTTTTTGTTAAGTATTTTAGTCTGGGCAATCCCTGATTAGCCAAGGGTGGAACTAGCCAAAGCAGCCAGGGATGCCACTAGAGTTATTTGGGAATCTTGCATCTAAAAAAGCAATGTAGTCTATGTATTTGCATAACGAATAATAAGTGCATTCCTTAAAAAATAATCAACAGAGATAAACCTCTACAGATCCTTCCTGTTTCTTGCCTCTATTCAAAAAAATAGTCTGACTGGAAACCACTAGGCAATCCTCATCTTTGTACCTCCACAAACTCTCCTCCTCCCAAACAGGTAACGGGATACGCTGGTGAAGCTGAGGGTGCTGGTGTGAGATGTGTGTAAAGGGAACGCTGATCCGCTCAGCCGGGCAGCGAGGCAACAGGAACGACACTTAATACAGTCTTTAAAGTTCTTGTACTCAGGTAATACCAATAAGCCAACATTCATTTTCAGTTTAAGACTGAACTTTTTTGGTAAACTTTGGTTTAGATTCAGAACACAAACCAGGACTATTTTATGTCCCTTTGCAGGGAATGCCTGCCTCTGTGCTTTACAGCACACAAATTGGAGCCTAAATGATTACCAAGGTGTCTGCAACACACACAGAAATGGACCACCCAGTACATGGAAAGCAGAAGCCTCTGAAATACTTCATAGTGGCACGAGCTATGGCCACACAGCATCCACTAAAAAGGAAGAGATTTTGGTAGCTAAATTCCATTTAACCTACTTAATGAACAAGAGAAGGCAGTTAAACCTTGGAGCTTCAATCAGTGAAACTGTAGCTGGGAAAGATTATGATGAATAGAGGATCATTAAAATTAAAAAGTTAAGAACTCTGGAGCATGCTGAGTGCACAGCAGCCCTCTATCTTTTTTTTATAGCTAAAATGTAACAGTTCTCATTATGAAAAGGTTTCTGGTACACTTGCTCACTCAGTATTAAAAATGCAGTTCTTCCGACAATTCTGACATTGGAAGGTGCCCCTGAAGCGTGGTGTGAGCAGTGATACAGGCCCTATCTGGTTGGACTGGAATCACTAGCAGTCACCAACAGGACTTCTCCAACAGGTACCACCAAGCCTGGCCTTTCAGAAGTCAGGACTGAGTCACTGCCAGCTGCTGCACAAGGTTCTGCGAATACAGCGAACTGCTCAGAGGGGAGAGATTAACTTTTGGGTAAAGATTAAACAGCATGATTGGAGCCCTAAGTAATTAGTATTTTTAGCACAATAGCGAGGAGTTATTTTTTTCATGCAATGTTAAGAATCTTCTGAAATGCAACTGCTGGAGTAAAAACACAAACATTTAAATTCAACTAGCAACAAATATTTCTGTCCACTGCTGTGGTGTCCATGGGAACACTGTGGGTGGGAAAACAGATCGCCAAAAGCTCAAATATTATTAATAAACTCAGTCACTTGGGCAAAGTACTCGCTTCAGGCTCAGAGTATCTGGGAGACTTGCAGAAATCAGTCCTTTTCAATTATACCCATTTGTTTACGGCATCTTGCTAGAGTGAGTGAGTCTGATCATTAACATGAAAAGTTCCCCAATTTTGGCTTCTGGGCCCATTTAGGACATTTCTGTTCCAACAGCTGGAAGCCATTATAAAACCAAAACTCCCAAAGTTTGGATAAGATATGTTGTTATAAAAATCTGTTTTACAATCTGGACAAGGAGCCATCACATAGGAAACCAATAAACAATGTAACAACACAGATAATAGATTTTTCACTTTTTTTCCCAACTCAAACATTTACTTAGCTACCAACAATAATAAGTTCACAGCAGTCCCATGAGTAAAGCAATGCGCTGTTTAGAAAAGTGCGATACGGCTCCGTGATACGCTGCCAGTCATTTAACAAGAGACTTTCACAGAAACATTTCAGCCTGAGCTTTGATAAACACTGACTCTCAGAAACATGTTCACATCAGTACGACAGCTGCAGAGAAAAATCTATTCACTTTTCTTCCCATCTTTATAAAAAAACCTTTCACTTAATTCTCTCCCCCTCCATTTTAATTTAGCTTTCTCTTTGCTTAAATAGTAGTGTTTTCTTTCCAGGTTTTATATCATACCTCATTCCTCAAAACATACTTAAATTATGGATTAGAAGTTTCACAGAAGGGTGTCTTTTAAAAATAGCTGGTATTTGGCTTAACTGGCCAACCCAGATGCAAGATAATTGTTCTTCAAAACAGTCTTTAGCCTCAGCAATAAGGCTTATCTATCAAGCATTATCTATGAGCAACAGCAGAGGATGTAAATTCCATTCAATTTAATTTAATAATTCTAAACCTCCCCTCAATCATAGTGATAAAAATGTAAATGCAGACTGCTAGGAGTTGTATTCCATACATCATTCTCAGAAACAGCTCAAGCATGGAAAGCATGGAGGGGAATGAAAATTACTACTTCTTTATCCTTCCAAAACGTCTCCCTTTGATAGGGCATCAAGGATGAACTTTTTAATTTGTTTGACAATTTGGAATGTCAATTGCGTTTGGCAAAAATAAATCCTGTTTAACAAGTAATTACTTGTAATTTCTAAATGCAGTCTGATAGAGAACTATTAGAAACCTCAACTAACTTCTGAATACTCTCTCCGACACAGCACATTAAAACATCTAAATGGCTTTACAAATGTTTGCTGGACTTAAAACACGTTTGGTCTATATTTCCTCCTGTTTCATGCTGCAAATGTACCAGGTCCGCTTGCTTCTCTTTGAAACTCCTTCATTCTTTCAAACAAAAATGTAGCTAGAAAATATGTAAAACCACTGTAGATATAACCTGGTTTGCCATTCCAAAGCCAGAAAGCTTTGGTTCTCATCTCCCATAGAGGGAGGCACACACAATATCATGATAATTTTAAAAGACAACAGTGAATCGCAGAGAGAACAGCTGAGTTATTAAGGCAGATTTATACTGGTGACACTCTTACCTCTTCTTCTTGGTGATAATGAGGACATCATTAAAGAGGAAGAAGTACACCTGCTGTTTAGAAGTTCTTTTAGAAAAAAGTCCAGTGTCTTCTACATACGCTGTTAACTCGCCCCTTTTCACTAACCATCGTGAAGAGGAAACCAACGGAAATGGCTACAAAGCAAGAAAACAACATTTTAATCCTTTAAAACCAGAGATGTTTTTAGACACAGATAACAGAATACTGTATATTTGGGAAAAATTGCTTGAATAAAATCAAAGCATGATCAAAATCATGAGTACAAGCACGAAACAGAGGTTTCCAAAGTTTAAGGTAGATTCATCATTCACACAATACAGAACTCACGGTCTCCAAATACTCGAAAATCACTCATGAACAACATTATTGCTCATCTAAGATAAAAATGAACAGACTTGATCGGTCATACTTGGGATGGAATTGACTATGTGAGATCTCCTAAGGAGATTAAACATAAAAAGACTGTCTCCCAGGAGTATGTAAGTTTTTATAGAGTAAGCAATCATTCTTTAAGCACGATAGTTATTCTGCACCACGTACAGAATAAAGAAAGAAAAAGTAAAATCCTTTAACAGATAAATACACCGCACAATCCACTTTGAAGTATTCTGTATGTTAGACAAACAGATACAGAGAGAGCATGCAAGATCAGATTGGTCCTAATACAGTACTCAACATTATTGTTGAGATGTTCAGAGTATACAGAATTTTTCTACGTTAAAAAGTAAGGGAAGTGAGGAATGCTGGAAAGCTTTGCGATCAATTGTGGTAAAATCCATTTTCTGCTCTGTAAGTAAACTGAAGTTCCAACACAGCTCTGCCAAAGACACTGTAAAACAGTACGCGATATGGAGGGTTGGAACAAACTGTCCATGTTAATGCCAAAACAATACAGTTTGCTCATGACATTGTAAATTCACCATTGAGCCCATCAGAGCACCCTCTCAGACCAGAGGTCACAACTCTCTGGACATCGCTTGTTCCAGGGAAAGTCAGGTTTGCATAAACCTTCATCCCTCACTTTATGAAGAGCAGGAAGAATCATTCTGCCCAGGTGATTACCAAACCAAACCACTTCTGTTTTTTCCCTTGATAGCAGGAAGGGAAGTTTATCAGGTACTTGCTATTCTCATTAGCAGCTCTTGAAGTATCAGAGTTATCTGTCCGGTGCATAGCTTTATTTAAGATGGGTACTTAAGGATACAGATACTATAGCTCCTCTTTTTCTAGTTGATGTAGTTGAACTCTAAATGTTCTGTGGAGCAGGGTCTCCATTTCTCTATGGTGAGGACTAACACTGCAACAGCTGAAGCAAGCCAAAGAGGATCAGAGCTGCCTGATGTGAAGACCAGGCTTTATTAATCCGAATTATTCCCAACTGCACGAGGAACAGACACCATAGAAGGACCTTTTGTTTCCCTGGGCCACGAACACGAAGGGAGATGCGAGACTGCACGTCCTGATTATACAGAGAACAGATCTTCTCTGAAGCTGTACCACGACATGCGATGCCAGAAGGACAAAGGTCCATTGCAGTGCTGGCAGCTGTCCCACTGAGCAGGGTTCCTCAGTCAGGGATCTCACTGGTGTGGCAGCTGTCCCACTGACCAGGGTTCCTCAGTCAGGGATCTCACTGGTGGTTGCTGCCGCAGAAGCCAGCGGAGCTGGTGTGTGGGAACGTTTCTTCAACAGCAGAGCATGGACAGGTTCTTGCTGCCAGACTCTGCTGTCACCAGGCGACAGTCCAAGGAAAGAGACTGGCCTCCTCCCTGGGTTTCACCCCTCACCGTTGGAATGACCTGTTTGGGTCCCAACTTGAATACTGAAGATGCTGGTACTTCTGTCTCTCTGCACCTTTGAGTGTTGCCCACGTGCTGCACAGAGCATCTGAAGATGCCCGGTACCTGCCCACCCTGGTACCAAAAGGGACCAGGCTCAGTGGCTTCCACAGGCCAAGCCTGACCTGCATGACCTTGTGGGTCCCTTTGCCCACACTTTCTCATATTTCTACCTAAAACCTGCCACAGTAAATGGGTGCTCACTGCTAAATTGTGTGGAGCTTACATATTTTTCTTCATCCCAAGCAAAATAATCAAATTTTTGTTTCTACTTTCAATGTAACTGGCTTTCTGCTTATCAAACGTTCCTACCTGCTTTGCTGTTCAGATTCATTATTGGTCTTGCATGATTAGACTAACAAAGACAACTGCTCTTTTCTCCATGTTTAAAGCACCTTTCACATGTTTGTAAAAAACATTTCTTCATTCAGTTTGTCAGCTGTCTTCTCCATTCTGCATGGGTTGTCTTTTTATATCTTTTAATCACTTCAGCTGCCCTTTACTGAGCTAATTTCAGCTTGTCAATACTTGCCCCAGAGCACTAAGCCAAACCCAAAAAACAGTGCTTTGACTGTGATCTTGCTGTTGGAAGAACAAAATACTAACTTCCTAATGTTACGTGCAGCCTCCCCCTTGTTAATGAATTTTGAGAGATGATTTTACAGTGACTCTGAAATGGCACAAGACAAACAGTTATTCCAAGGAGGGTTTTCCTGCCACCCCCAGCACCACAGAACCCTTCCCTTAGGGGCAGGGCACTAATGCCAGATGAAGGTTTCTCAAAATCAAAGTCTAGCAGCCCCCTGGAACTACTGCCAGTTGGTACAAATTAAAAAGCCTGACACTTCTTACCTCGCTCCAGGCTGATTTATGTCCCAGTACTCCCAGAACAGGCAGGAATGAAAGCCCACCCTCAGCTGGTTCTCAAAACACAGACATCCACTAACAAACCCTTTGCTGTACTGTGGACCCGCATCAGGGACCTTTCAAAACTTGCATTGTTTCAGAGTGACTACTGATAAACACCAGCAGATTTCATTCATCTGCTATGATTCCTAGTATTTTTACATTCATGCTACCAATATTAGTGTATTGAATCCTGAAGAAACTCGTTCATGCTACCAAGATAATATTAGTGTATTGAATCCTGAAGAAACTCCCTTCGGACATTTTTTCCCCCAATTAATCTTAGCTCTCATCTTCTGTTTTGATTAATGTGACTTTTTTTGGTCCGTTTCTAGTTTTATCTTGGCCATTAGTTTGTTAAATGGATTTTCTATTGTATTCTCCAATTTGAAAAGGCAGAATTTTGCTTCAAACCGTATTTCATAAATAGATCTGTATCCAAGTCTATTAACGAATCAGAGTAAATCACTCTGGTTATAAATCACTGTAATTTCAAGTTCATAACTTGATCTTGTCACTCAGCTCAGTAGATAACTTGGACTTCTGTCCATCCAACTTTATTGCTTTCTCCTACACCTCTCAGCTCAGTAGATAACTTGGACATCTATCCATCCAACTTTATTGCTTTCTCCTACACCATCCTATCATTTTTCTTATGGATGGTCAGCTTATTAAAGACACATCATTAAACCTCCCAGACTACGAAGGCCAGTTTAGCTCCGTGCTCAAACGCGATGATCCCAGAGGAGCTCCCAAGCTCCACCACTGTAATCAAAGCAGCTTAATATTAACATTCAGCTGTAAAAAAACTTGCCTTACTTTCAGTCAAAACTCTGCTGGTTCAGCACCTCCAAGTGACATGAAAAATCGATTTTTTTAAACAAATGGCTTTTATATTTCCTGAAACGCAGTAATGATTCCATGAGAATCATTAGGGCTACAAAGAATCATTGTAGGGCTACAAAGATGATTCAAGGATTGGCCATCCTATCATTTTTCTTATGGATGGTCAGCTTATTAAAGACACATCATTAAACCTCCCAGACTACGAAGGCCAGTTTAGCTCCGTGCTCAAACGCGATGATCCCAGAGGAGCTCCCAAGCTCCACCACTGTAATCAAAGCAGCTTAATATTAACATTCAGCTGTAAAAAAACTTGCCTTACTTTCAGTCAAAACTCTGCTGGTTCAGCACCTCCAAGTGACATGAAAAATCGATTTTTTTAAACAAATGGCTTTTATATTTCCTGAAACGCAGTAATGGTTCCATGAGACAATACAGGAACGTGGAACATCAGACTGTACCCCACCAGTGACACCGATGTGCTTTTTGGGACTACAAAATCAAAAGACTTCGGGGTGAATGCTCCTTGAACACAGACGTCACAGACAAGTTCGTTTCATGAACACAAAAGTGTTTTTCCAAGAAAAAAAAACCCAAAAACCCCAAACCCACAACCTTTCTGGTGCTAACGATGAAAAATATAAGAATAAAAACTAATACAGGAGCGTGGAACATCAGACCGTGCCCTACCAGTGACACCGATGTGCTTTTTGGGACTACAAAATCAAAAGACTTCGGGGTGAATGCTCCTTGAACACAGACGTCACAGACAAGTTCGTTTCATGAACACAAAAGTGTTTTTCCAAGAAAAAAAAACCCAAAAACCCCAAACCCACAACCTTTCTGGTGCTAACGATGAAAAATATAAGAATAAAAACTTCTGTATCTTAATGAAAAATTAAATTCTACAGATTAGCCATGTACAAAAGTGACATCATATCCAAGTAGCTTCTCTTGTACTCCCATGAAATGCTCCACAGTTACATCTAACAAAATAATAAACAAAAATCAAAACCCGCCTGGATGCAGTCCTGAGTAACATGCTCTAGCTCTAGGCAATCCTGCTTCAGCAGGGGAGTTGGACTAGATGATCTCTATGGTCCCTTCCAACTCTAGAAATTCAGTGAAATTCAGTGAAAATTCAGTGAGATAATACAGGAGCGTGGAACATCAGACCGTGCCCTACCAGTGACACCGATGTGCTTTTTGGGACTACAAAATCAAAAGACTTTGGGGTGACTGCTCCTTGAACACAGAAGTCACAGACAAGTTTGTTTCATGAACACAAAAGTGTTTTTCCATGAAAAAAACCCCAAAAACCCCAAACCCAAAACCTTTCTGGTGCTAACGATGAAAAATATAAGAATAAAAACTTCTGTATCTTAATGAAAAATTAAATTCTACAGATTAGCCATGTACAAAAGTGACATCATATCCAAGTAGCTTCTCTTGTACTCCCATGAAATGCTCCACAGTTACATCTAACAAAATAATAAACAAAAGATACCAAAACGCTCTGAGGTTGAGCAAGAACAGAAATAGTTTACCTAATTTATAATGGTTATAAAACAGAATTATAGCACCACAGTGATTGTTTTACAGAAAGTACTTTAACAATTTCTATTTGAGGATGAACTAAAAATTCATCTAATCTCCGATTTCATCACATTTTCCTAGTTGACTATATTCCAGAGGCAGCTTTTTACTTCCCTATTAATTTTTCCTTAATTGCCAAAAGAGTACATCACACAGACTATCTCCTTTCTATATAGAACAAGCCGTCAGAACTTAAAATGCATTGAAACTTGGCCAAAGCAGTTTTTTATACACCAGCTGGCGAGCTTTCAAACCACAGATAAGGTCTAAACCACAAAGTGGTTATATTTAAGATGCGCAAAGGAAAAAAAAACTTGCATAAAAACGACAGAAAAACAGAATACAGAAAGTTGCTGTTCCTCGCTGCTGGTGACAGGGAAGAGCTGCTCAGGGCTCTTGCATCTGCAGAACTGGGACCAATGGCAGGCATCCTCCCCCACAGGGCAAGTAAGAGACTATAAACCATTTACACACTTGGACACCGTTGGGGACTTCTGAAGATTTGAGAACTATGAGTGAAACCGCAAAGCCAAGCCCAAGGACTTCAGACCACCCAAACCGCTCCCTTAGACTACCCAAAGACTCGAGACCATCATCCATCATTGTTAGCAAATGTACCGATGTCACTCGTTAAGAGATGTTTTGTTTATTGCTGCTGTTGTTATGAATAAATATTATTATGATTCTCAGTTTTTAGTTAAAAGTTTGAAAATAGAGATACTTCAGAGGAGTTGAGAAACATCTTTTTGGAGACAGCATTTCCTCAAAGACTGACCAAGATCCTTTAAAGAACCGCATCTTTAAAACCATGAACCTCTAGTTACTACATGTATGATAATCAAAATATCTTCTCACAAAACAAAGCTCATTATGTAATGGTATGAGACGTTATTTATAGAAATAGTATTTTAACAAACATTAAATAGAAAAAAGTAAATATACTTGAAGAAATACACTGGAAGTACAATAAAACCCTTACTGACTATGACTATGTCTGCTATTTTTTCCTACCCAAAAGACTGACTGTAGAGGGTTTTTTTAATAACAGCCTAAATTGTATTTTCAGTACTAGGAAGAAAAAATTTGGAGTATGTCAGTATCCAAGACTTTTTAAAATTATTTGAGGGTTAATATCTCCTGTACCAGCAAAACAAAAACTAGGTTGTGTTCACTTGAAGTGAACAGTGCTAATAAAGGTGTAGTTTTGCTTAAGCAATCTCCCCTCCCCTGGGGGCGGCTGTTGCCCAGGCTGCTGTTCCAGGCAGGTCTCACACAATTTCAGTTGTGTGTCCAACGCTGCCCGACGCGCCATCCCGGGCAAAGCTGGGGAACTCCAGGGTTCCCAGGATTTCAGGTGGGGCCCAGGAATTTCACAGCACTGAGTGGGCAGCACTCGCAGGCTCAGTCATCCCCCACGAAAAGGATGACTCCTCAAACTGACAGTTTTTACAGTGGACTATTAGAATCTGGTAGAAATAGACTGTAATTCCATGAAACACCTGCTGAGGTGGCTAGAAATTGACCTGTTTTTTTCTTTTATTTCACACTGCTGTAAATCCAGATAGTCAAATTGCAAATACTTGAAGTATTTACTTAGCACACTTTTCTTATCACATAGGTGAGAACATCTCATCAGCATCCAGCAGCAGTTGGCCTCTCTCCTAATGGCAAGATCTTCACGGCAACTTTGTCTTTACAGCAAAGATTACTTAATTCAATATATATTAAAAAAATCTATTATAAAATAACCTTTAAAATAAAAATTAACAAGAAGTTTTATTTTTATCCTGCTATAATACATCAATTCTTTGTAAGAACTACGGTATGATATGAAGATGCCATTAAAGTTCCACTGTTTACTGCAACAAAGAGTTGCAAATACCAATTCACCCTAAAGAAACACAGTTTGTTCCTCAGCTGCAGCTAGAAATCTAAGCAAAGCTTCAGACCTGCAGCTCACAGCAAAGAGTCAGAGCTTGTTCACACGCTGCCAGACAACGTGCTGAAGTGAAAAACAGAACTGGTTTGCAGTGCAGCACCTCCCCCCAAAACATCGCTTTCATCCATCCACAAAGTTCCCAATCTGCAAGAGATTTCAACGGATTTGTCAATCAGGCTGGTGACACGGCTGTCACACGTTCAGTGCCACAGCCTCCATTGCCAGCAGAGAATGGCAACAATTCTACAAATTAGAGACGATGGTGTGCATTGCTCTGCTGCTGTTTTATGTGAGGAGGAAAGAGAGAAAGAAAAAAAAAAAGCTGTTGAAGCTCTGAGAAACCTTGAGGAAATGAATGAGAAGAAGGATGGGCACAGAGGCAGAGCAACGTGTGATTCTGTGTGTGAAATGGGACAAGACCATCAGGCACATTGTTATGAACGACACAAAACAGCATAAAACTGTACCACGACTGGTATTACCTGGTACTGTCACCCCAACAGGGAGTGTTTCATCCACAAAGGTAAACCCAGAGCCTGGACATACCTCATTCTTCAGAATTAATGCTAATTTATTTAAAAAAAAAAAAAATATATATATATATCTCTCTTGATACTCTTCCTGAAAAGCCTCCACCTGAACCTTAACCTGCTGGTTAGATGCAACAGTCCTCAGTGACTCTGAGCTTCCAGGGCTTCAGCTGCCCCAGAATATGAACCTGTCTTCCTTGACTGCAGAGTCCTGTCAATATTACAGCCTACACTTTTAAAAAAAAAAAAAAATATATATATATATGTATATATCTCTTGATACTCTTCTTGAAAAGCCTCCACCTTTACCTTAACCTGCTGGTTAGATGCAACAGTCCTCAGTGACTCTGAGCTTCCAGGGCTTCAGCTGCCCCAGAATATGAACCTGTCTTCCTTGACTGCAGAGTCCTGTCAATATTACAGCCTACACTGATTTACTTTGTTCCTGCTGGCAATGAACCTATCACAACTTAAGATACAGTCAAAACTATTCATAGGGTAAATGATTTATGGTCAGAAATATCACCATCTTACCTTGATTTTAAATTCCAGTTGGGAGTTAATCGTGTACATCATTTCTGTCCTTTCCATTTTCCGAGCACCTTCGTTGCATAAACGCACCAGCTAGAAACGAGACATTTAACGGGTTTAACGCACTCAGAACTTACAATACAAACTTTGTTCCTTCATAAAATGCAGATCTGAGGAAGCATAAAACATGCAAAGGAACTCACATTTTCACACTGGGTCACAGACATCATATTTTCAAGACCAGACTGAATGTGGCCCTGAGCGAGCAGGTCTGAGCTGAGAACAATTCTGCTTTGGGGCTGAATGACCTCCCCAGATCCTCCTCCATCTGAATGATCCCACTACACTATGATAATTATTTATTCTTCAGGGGAGTCCAGATGGTACAAAGGTGCAGCCAGAAGTTCTAACTTCTGATTATAATTCTCTGATACAAGTTAATGATCAGCTCCAAAAGAAACAACCTCCCAGCCTGACAGATGAGCACCGGGCAGGCGCTGCCACATCTACCACACACCCCAACTCACTCATGGAAGAAAGCCCCAACACAAACGTTATGGTACCACTAAGGCAAACAGTATCCTAGAAAAAGTTTCATTGCTGCTGACCACCAATTTTTTTCAAAACTAAAAAAGGTAATCTGATTGCTGAGGTTCAAATGGAAGGAACCAGAATTTATCACATAAGTAAGTGCTGTAGAAATTCACAATCCATGCATGGAAATGGACTGTGCTCTTCTTCCACCATTAATTCTTTGTAAAAAAGCATGACTACAGGAGAACAATTGTGACCAACTGACTTTTACAATAAAAGCAGAAACAATGTTTAAGTTTGCTTAGAAGAATCAGACTTTCTTGTCTCTACGGTCAGGACAGTGTTTTGGTTTTCTGGCCCACCACGTGGCTTTCTGCTGGAATGACTGGCCGCAAATAGGATAAATTTGTCCAACTAAACAATAAAACAGGTCAATAAAATGAGTAATGAAAATGAAAATTAATTATCAAGTGAATAAAAAAACCAAAACCATCAGTTTCTCACAGTGAATTTTTGAAATGCCAAAAGCACACAGTGCAATTTAGGAAGGAAAACAGTCAACGCATGAAAAATTCCTCATCCATGTTAAACTTTTAAGGACATACCTTGCTCACTTCTTTCAGAGCTCGCTTGCAGTTCTCGTATTTTGGTGAATCCTTAGGAGTTTTCTGACAAATCGTCTAAAATTAAATGTCAGTTACTTCACAGGACTAAGCAGCAAAGACAGTAACAAATACAGAATTTTACATATGTATTAATTGACATCAAAGAGGTGAAGTCACAGCTGTGGACTGGGATAAATGAGAACATTGTATGACTTCAGAGTGTTTCCTGAAACTAAGGAATGCCTCCTCTGAAAGCTTTTTGGAGCAAAATGATGTTTTGCACCTCTTGGCCAACCTCCATCCATGGCAGCACAGTGGAAGAGACAGGCCATGTCCCTCCAGGAAAGGGAATGTTTCTGCTGTCTCGTCTCTAACTTTTTGCAAACCACAATAAAATCCCATTGCAGCCATACCTAAACAGGTTCTTCCTATTTCAAGTACCACGTTAAGCTTTTCCTGGAAGCTGAAATACCTATTTACGTAGAACTGTACTTGCAATAAGAAAACTGCACCAGGTTATTCTATCTGACCTCCTTGTGTAAGGTAAGCATTTCCAAAGGAATAACAGAAAAGGCTCTTTAGGCTACACAGTGATGTGTACCATGGAAAAATATACATAACAGTATTATTTTATTAAAACAAAAGCCCTTGTGGAAGGTGTTTCCACAGGATTAACAGAAAAGGCTCTTTAGGCTACACAGTGATGTGTACCATGGAAAAATATACATAACAGTATTATTCTTCATAAACAATAGGCCAGTACCTACAGCCCTGAGGCTGTGATGTGTACCATGGAAAAATATACATAACAGTATTATTTTATTAAAACAAAAAAGCACATAGGAGGGAAGAGAGCTGCAGCACCCAACCAGAGGAAGCACAGTTCTTCATAAGCAATAGGCCAGTACCTACAGCCCTGAGGCTGGTGTAAGTAATGGTATATGAAGAGACTGGAATGAATTAGGAATTGAGTATCAAAGAACAGTAATATTAAAAGAACATGCATCAAGGAGTAAAAACTGTGTTCTCACATCCATCAGTAAGGGAAGACGAGTAACTCTCTGCATGGGAAGAATGAGGAAAGAGATCATTGGTAAATTCCGACAATCTTCATGGGACTCAATCCGTGATAACGCCTCTTTAAATGCTGGATTTGTGGCTCTGGTGGGAAAAAGGGGAGAGAATTAAACGGTATGTTTTAGCAAAGAATTGTGAAAGTTGCTAGATTTCAAATAAATCATGACTTCATGAATAGAGAAACGTGGTTTGAAGTAGTCATACCAACTAAGCCTTCAGCTTATTTACTTAGATATGCAAAACCAGTGTTGACATTCAGAAACCTCAAGTTCTCCCATACAGGAAGGCGAGTGCAAACAGACTCGTACGTAACCCACGAGGGAAGTGTGTCTCTGACACTGATTGAACTGTACTTATCAGTGGGAAGAGAATGTCACACATGACCACAAATAGGATTGGACTATGCAGCCAGGCATGTTTTCACTCTCAATTACTTCAAAGGAACTTGTACATTAAGGAGAGCTAAGCATGTCAGTACATGTTTGATTGGAAGCCATAGGTTTTGCACCAAATACCACAGCCTACTACTCACTCTTACTACGGAGGGGGTGATTTTGCAATCATATTTTAAAATTAGTTCTTACAGTAACTTCTGCAGGGTTCGCTGCTGATAGACTTCATTAGTGCAGTACTTTACATACGGATCAAACGTTGAAGAACTATGCTTTTCGACTATATCACTAATATCATCAATAAAGATGTTATTCTGATGTCTTGCTTCAAGTTCTTCAAAGAACCTGTGATGGGGAGGGGAAAGAAATTACTCATTTTACAAAAAAATAGCAGACTTTCTCTTGCAACATATTACACTTCTCCTGACACAACCCGTGACTTTTATAAACTAATGACAACAAATGGTTTGTGAAAGGGTGAGATCATCTCTCCTTGGGCAGAACGGTGAGGGAAATCTTTGCAGGATACACAAGCCCCAGGGTGGCGGTGTCACCTGGCAGAGCTCAGCAGAAGCAATCCTGGCAAAGTTACTTCCCATTCTCTAGCTGCCAAAACCGAAACAGCATTACTGATCTGGTTAGACTAGAATTTCCAGAAACGGGGTTGAAAAAGAAATGAAACAACTTCAAACACAACATTAACACATTTCCCCATGTAATAAAGGAAGTACAATACCAGAAATGTTCAATGAAACAAAGTTACATGTGAACTGCTAAACTAAGACCAAAAAATTACATAGCAGGCTGAGCTGGACGAGGTGCTCATGTACCACATACTTCAACCTACCATTAAAACCAAACACAGATTGGAAAGAGTGAAAATGGGAACAGAAACCAAAATCCTGAGCTGAGGTCTCCCCTTCAACATGCCTGTTCCAAGAGCTTCCCTACTGTTCGTTCTCCATTCCACGTCTAAATCCCTTTGGCCTCTGCAAGCTTTCCAGTCTTCCCTGCACTGCTACTTTAAGCAGAAAACAAAAGCCTTTATTTCCACAATGCTCATTAGAAATATTTTACTGTTTGGGGTGTAAGAGCTCACACAGATCCGCATTAGACGCACTGCAGGTCATTAGAAATACCTACACTGACACTCCAACACCACTGCCATCCTTTGAAAGCGAGAGGCTGCTGAAAACACCCCCAGTGCTAGTCTTGCCTGCAGCCGTCATAAAAGACAATTCACTACAACAATGCTGAACTCCCCACAGTAAACCAGCTCATAAAATATTCTTGTACAGCACAAAAAAATTTAGGAAATACTTGGAACAGACGATCTCACATCAAGCTAAAATATTTTGAAACATGTTTTATTTTGTTTTACCCCTTTATTACATGTTCTCATTACTAACACTGGCTCTTCAAATGTGTGTCACCTTGTGGCATTTCATTTTTGTAAGGGTGCCACCAATGTTGTCCATAGTTTGTTTCACAAACGACCTCAAACACCTAAGAAGAGAAGAGGATGAATAGAAGCTTGTCGTACAAGTGTTTAACGACACGGGTTAACTAAAATTAAGACTTTTTTTCAGGTGTGCTTAGAAGCTGCTGCCTGAATTGAGAAGTTGCCAGACTCTCACTTGGTCAATCACACAGCCCAGAAGAATCAAATGGAGGTGTTTTTTTTTTAATTCTGAAATATTAACTGCAGATCAAACTGATTGATGTTTATCAGTATTGTCTTTTAATGAAAACCAGGACACTGCCTACAATATAATGGATATAATGCCATTTACTACAGTGCACAGTTTTCTTCTCACTCTTCCCTTTTAAGTGGTGCAGCAGTATTTTTTAATAACCTTGCCACTTTTGGAAGGCAGAGTCCTCCACCCATCTTATTTCAACACACAAAATATTTCAAGTTGTCACTGACTTACATTACAGGCTTTGCATTTGGTGTTCAGTACCAAGAGCAGTACAAGCCGGCAAAGGACACTAAGGAGGCCTCACACAATACATGGACAAATACTGTCGTTAACAGCGGCCTGAGATTTCATTAGGGTCCAAAAAGAGAACAAAAAAAAAAAAAAGAAAAAAAGCATCTCCAAGTCACAGAGTCTACAATTTCTCACAAACAACAGTCAGATTTCAGCCACTGACCACCGTGAACTGCAGACGACTGGAACTCGTTTCTACTCCACTCAGACATGTTTACTGTTGGAAGAACTTCTCAGCGCCCTGCCAATTTACTTTGCTCAGGAAATTAGGAAATACAACATTTCTTCCTGCTGTATGTTATGGCACACTGACAAGGTGTTTGACCATGCTGGGCTAGAACTTCCACTTTTAGAATTTATCTGATGCTTTCATCAATTACATCATCAGTCACAGTCACTGTAAGGAACAGTAAAAATCCTAGATAGAAGAAGATTAAAAATAAAAGATTAAAAAAAGAAAAAAAAAAGAAAAAGAGAGGCGCAGAGAGAAGCAGCACACCCAGGTCCCATCCCCCACAACACACACCGTAAGAATTATTACCTCTGGAAGTCACACAGCAGAGTTTGAATCAAAGGTGGTCTTTTTTTGCATCCAATCTGCTAATTACTCCGTACAATAAGTGAACCAGACGCATCATACAAATCTTTTACTTCAAATTTTAGGGCAGATTCAGTCATAAAGATCAGTGCTGAGTGATCGAGTGTTTACATTCGGTTTAACCAACTACAAATTAGTTGTGCTGTGTGAATGGCTTTTTTTGCTTAATACCAGAAGGATTTATTTAAAGCATTTGTTTCTGTTAAATCCAGAACTTTTCTGGTTTAAGTTAGATCCAACTAAGTGAAAGTCAAACAGCATCGTAAGACAGCATTTGATTTCCCTCATCTTATGTTGTTTAAAAGAAACGGCCAATTTGCAATACTCTACAATTCCCCTCTCCTAAGGGCTACGTGCCAAATGTAGAAATGTGGGTTTAATTCATTTCCTGTTTCTTTCTTTTTATAGCACGGTATCTGGGAACACCAGGGATCTCACCGACACTGGAGTTTGCCCTGTCTTTACGACAAGGGTTCCCTCAAAGTTGGTGGCTCTTGTTAAGGACCTTCCTGTATCTTTAGGCAGCTCATTAACAAGCTGGTAATTACCAGGAACAATGTCCTAATACGTGCTCAGGCAATTTTCTTACACTATTTTTTTCCTGCTCTTTGGCACTGCTTTAATCAATGACTGATATCCACAACTTTCTCAAAAAGTCTAGTTAATTCAGCTGTATAAACACAAATGCACAGTGGTACATGCACAGTGTTACAAACTACTCCACACAATTCACCTTTATAAGGTCTAAAATACGTCTCATTTCCAATTGCAAAACTCCCATCAACATCAATACAAGTTCCACTTGAACAGATGCCATGAAAAAATACACAAAACAAATGCCCTAAGAATAACCGCTTTGGTCAATGTTTCCTCTCAACATTTAGTCTCCCTTCACTCCTAGATAAAGATACTAACTGAGCAGGACTTATAGTCTTATGAATACTGTATCTCCAAAATTAGACCACGCTGCATTAAAAATATTCTAATTAGGCAGATAAAAGAGATTTAAACTAGATAGGCCACATTAGTTAGAAAAACAATTATCTTACAGAATCAGTTCTTATCAAGGAGCAAAAAGCATGTAGAATCAAATAACAGCACATAAGAGGAATATACAGAAAGGTCAGAGGTCCTTCAAAAAAAATCTACATCACAGGTAACTATAGAATAGAAGTGGTATCAGAGCCTTTCTGGTGAGTGAGACTGGGAAAGAGCAGACTTGGCAGAAGATCTGTCAGAAACTGAAGTAAATGTGGAACACCAGAAGTCACCAGACCCAGGTGATCAGCACCCAAGAGGAAAAAAAATTCTCATGAAGTTACCATGAGATCATTTTATTCTGTTTGTAAAATGACAGAATAACTGTGACAGCACTGCCAGGCTGGTGAGAGGGACAGATGGTGTAATATCCTCACGGTCTTGTGTAAGGGTTACGTACCAATCAGAGAATCAAGGTTCTCAAACATTTATCTGACTTTTTTCCTACCACTTACGGTACTAATTTTTTACCTCTTTTCAGGTTCATGTAATTCTCCATCACTAACCATTCTGGCCCGTGCTGTTGTCCCTCTCTGCCAGATGCCACAGTCACTGAAAACAGCAGTTTGTCACCAGCAAAGCCATTCTGTACGTGCAAGTGAACTGTGGTCTAGGTTGTGGATCACTTCAAGTTCATTACTATTATTCTCGCTTAATGTTTTTGAAGTTATAATGACCTATATGTCTGGCATGAAGAAGATTATAAGATTATAATGCAGATTTAGCTTCATATGGATGTTGCTGCTGACACATTACTATCCAGTAACACAAAAAAGGCACTGGAGTGGAAGTAAGTACAATTTAGCTTCTTCCTCTTAGAGATAAGGGAACTGGAAAAACAATTACCAGTTTCAGATAACTTTAGATAAAAGTAATAAAAATTTCTGAGTAGCCTCTCCAAATCTGGATATTCTCATCAGGAACAGAAGCTTAACATCTGCATCACAATTTATAGTGGCTTGGTTTTTTACGGGTTTTTTTTAGCGTTTTTTTGGGGCAGGAGGGGAGGGACACGACACAAGGGGGAAGAGAGGGAACAGAATTTAAAATGGTAAAATTGCAGCCTTATTTTCATAAATTTTTACACTGAATCAGAATCAGAGCTTTTAGCAAAAGAATGGCTGAAAAAGTGGGTGATTGAAGTGAGGGACTGCATCCACAGGTGATTGAAATTAATCAGTTTGTTACAGGAGCTACCACACACTAAGTAACAGGAAACAACACATACATACACATACATTTATAACATCAAACACTGCAATGCTAATAGTCTATAAAAATATCTTTCATTATGCAATATTTACTGAATCTCTAGAAAGTCAAACAAGAAAAAAATTAAAAAGCCAAAACATCCCTGACAGCCTATTCCTTCCCTCTGCAACAAACTGGACCAACTGTCAGCAGACCTACCCGCAAGGAACTGCACTAATGGCCAAAAAAGCCACTTGCCTTTCCAAGTATTTCTACTCTTCTGGCAGAAATCCAGAACAATAAAAAGGCCGTGGCAACCCTGTCAATATATTCTGTTACAGCGAGATTCTTGAGATAGTGGGTAAGTGCTCATAGCATCTCCTTCAATGGTACGCCTTTCACAAAAACAAATCTTGATTCAACCAATTAATACCCACTGACAAATGAACCCACAAAGAACACTCTGTCATGCTAGAAATGTAAATCTTTTTGATAAATTATGAAGACATCACAACAGGAGTCTT